TTTATATAAATATACTGCAACCTGTTCCTGGTACAGTACAGGTTTCTATTCTGACAGGGTAAAAACCCTAAATATAGATGCGAGAAACCATGAAATCCTGACTGACAAAAAAGCAGTCATAGGCAGGTGATGGTAGGTAAGGTGATGACCAAGCTAGTTAATTTTGGGGCCGGTAATTTAAAAATGACCAAAAAACTATTGTTAAAATCAAGTGCTGAAGCAACAATAAATTATGACAATCTAAGGTATGCACGCTTCTCAACAACAAAACAAACAAGAAAATGTTAAGGATGTAATATTCCTTTTTAGTACTGTATTTAGTATTCCCACAACAGCACTGTAGTCAATCGCAGGTTTCTTTCTCAGTCACAGCAGATGGTTCTTTTATCCAGTTGGCCAAACATAAACAGACTGGTATGACTGGTTAACAGATCCCTCACATGTAATGCAGGGGACTCCCTGTTCTTTGGCCATAGCTGACCTACATCCTTGTGTTTAACAGAAAATGACGGTTGTAGCTTTACTCTCAACTATGTGAGCTGAGGTGTTTTTTTTTGTTATTTCATGTGTTCATGTCAATGAATTCTTGTGATTTAATTTAGATTATTTCTCTAACAATGACATAAAGCAAAAAATTTGTTTGACAAAATCTATGATGTTACTGAGTGTAGTTAACAGGTGCGATTAATCTTATATTTAATGCAGTCTCACCTATTCCTTAAATATTTCTGAAGTCCATTGTTTTGTTTTTCTTCTAGAAGTGTTTTTGAGGGGTTGTACTGTAAGTCTGCAAACTGTCAGCCTACAGGTGATGAATACCCTTGCTATTGCACTTCCAAAGGCATGAGTATTTCAGTACATCAACTTTGCAAAGCTCCTGTGTCATTCAGCGCCCATCCATCAACCAGAACTAGATTAAAACACAGCAGTGCTACCAGCTGACAGGAAGAACCTGTGTTTGACCCCAACCCGTACTGCCAGGTGTAACCTATCTGAGGAGTTGCCCTTACTACCACAAGTGGATGTTAAAGCAGATCCATAAAACTGATGTCTCATCAGTTCTCTCAGAGCTAGCAGTATCTGATGCAAAAGCTCCTTCTAAGGTAACCTCAAGATAACCTTGTACAAGCTACATGACTGCATGTGAGGAAGCAAATGAGTAGAGGCAGATAAAAGAAGCATTTCTAAGTACCTCCAGCAGCTGAGATAACTTGCATAACTAATAGACTACAGTCAGAGTAAGATAAGGAACATACTGTATATGAGAAAAGGCTGCCATGCCTTTAGAAACGTCTCCCTCGCACCCCTAAGTGTAACATCAAGATCAGTTCATGATTATTTGTTGTTCCAGCCATATACAAGTATACAGTGGAAATATCTCCTGGTCCTCCTGGTCCACGGTGCAAATATAGACAGGACTGACAGGACACTGACACAGACATTGTAGACAGGATACACATAATGCAAGGTGCAAATTACTAAGGTAAATATGTAATACAATATACACAAAAAACACTGGGGGGATTTAAACCCTGTTTCTGGAATTGGAGTGGGTGCAAGTAGATTCCAGGGTGTTGAGGAGCCTGATAGCATACGGAAAAAACTTTTACAGAGTCTGGTGGAGCTAGCCCACACACTGCGATATCTTTTTCCAGATGGTAGGAGGGCAAAGAGTTTATGGGAGGGGTGGGAGGGGTCATTTACTATAATGAAGGCCGCTGTATGCAGCGTTTGCAGCGTAGATGACAGAAATGGAAGGGAGGGAGGCTCCAATGATGTTTTCAGCTGTTTCCACAATTTGTTGCAGGGTCTTGCGGTCTGAAGCGTTGCACTTCCCAAAGCAAACAGTGACACAGCTGGTCAAGGTGCTCTCAATGGTGCTTCTGTGAAATGTGGTAAGAATGGGGAAGGTTTGCCCTCCTCAGTCACTGCAGGACATTGTGATGCTGCTGTGCTTTCTTGGCTAGGGAGGTGGTGTTGAGGGACCAAGTGAAGACATCTGTAATGTGTACACCAATAAACTTGGTGCTTCTAACTGTCTCCACAGCTGTTGATGTACAGTGGGGAGCTATCAGCACGGGCCCTCCTGAAGTCAATGATTATGATGTCAATGATATACATTTTCCAATTTTAAATTATACAAAAATGTTTAAATTAGCTTGTATAAGAAGGGTAGATAGCCTACTTCTATGCCAGAAAAATTAAGCAACCTGCCAGCAGGGTGGCAAAGGCTAAGGTGTCAGCTTGTGATATAGTTATACTGGCCTTGTCAGGCAAAACTCCAATGCTAGCTGGCACAGGGGAAGGCAAAATATCTATTTCCAAAACTGCTGAGAGGGTTTCAAAAACAGACAACCAAAATGGGAGCAGACTGTCTGAGCCCCAACACGTATGAAACAGCAAAGCCAGTTCTTAACTATATTGATCACAGATAGTGCTTACATCAGGGTATTGTCTCGATTGGGATCCCTCCTCTTAAGGGCGCTCTGACCCTTTTGTATTTTAGTTGATTATCTGTACCTGCCCCCTGTTTTGTTTCTCATTATTTAAGCCTGGCGCTCTCACTATTCCTGGCTCAGTATTGGAAGATGGACGCCCGGAAGCCCGTCTACCAGTGGCAGAGACCTGATGGCATAGGCTTCACCCCAGCATCCTGACCGTCTGAGTCTGGGGCTCGGAGCTCCTGGCCTCGTTATCCTGGTTTTATTCCCTGTCCCTGTTTCAGGTCCTGTTCCTGATTTTAACCTTGTTTGTTTCATTTTGGATGAATCACCCGGTTTTGGACTTTAGACAGCGCCCCGGATTTCCCCCTTGGACTGTTTTGACTTGTTTGCTTGCGCCACGCACCCTAAGCACCGGATCACCACTGTCACACCCCCCTGTCTGTCAACCCGTCCTGATCCTTTACGTCTCTTCCCTGTTGTCCTTCTCCACTTACTTCCGGATTATACCGTCTGCATAGGGTCCTGAACTACGCTTCACGGGAGCCTGGACATACAGGTATGTTTTAGAACATTTGACTTTTGATGGATATAGATGGTGAGTAATTTTGAATTAACTCATGCTCAGGACAGACTGATAAGGAAAGTATTGTCTTTAGAAGAGACTCCCACAAATCATCGAAGAGCTAATGATCTGTTTTCTGCTTTCCAGCATTTTCTTTATTGGGAATAGAGACAGTCATTGCCTGGGGAGAACAGCACTTAGTTGTTTTCTACAATTGTACTCCCACCAGGATTAAGGTTGTGTAGGGAATCAATATGTGATTCAGGTAGAAAGTGGAGAAAAGTGTAGGTTTTATGTTGTGCACAGTCCAGACTTTGAGGATGGACAAAAAATGATGTTCATCGAACTCAAGTGTGGATAGTAGGGAATCCACAGAATGACTGTCACATTCTCATCTTGCAAGAAATCGTAACTGGAGCACCTTGAGGATCCATGTCACATGGAATGATGTCACATCAGCAAGCAATGATCCCAGATAATGGCATACTGCCCTCAACAAACACAGAGTAATGCAGTGATTCACGGCAAAACTCTTGGACCTCCCCATAACAATTGACTTAACATTGTGTGTCTGCTCTACACTTACAGTACTTACACCTGACAAGGACCTAAACACAAAACCTTAATTAATTTCTAAAGAGCACACAGCTGCACTGCTGGTGACTGCTCCTGAAGTGACTTAGTCCAGTCTATAACATACTGATGCAAAAGTGTGTTGTTCTCTTGCTAATGATACTTAATTTCTGTGATTTTCACCAGGTTTGAAATTCAGCAGGTTAAATTACCTCAGCATCTATGTCCATTCAAGACCCTAAAGAGACGATTCAGTGCTTTAAACAGGTTAGTGCGTAATGGTGTCAAATTATGTCACATTTAATCAATACACAAAATCTGTAAAATTGATTTTCAGTTATTAGTTTCTTTAAAAGCTCAGAATATATCATATATATAGATATAAACATTAATTTATCCAGCTAATGCCAAGACATTAATATTTCACATGAACTGTAGAAAAAAATAAACAGAAAAAAGACCATTCTTTATTTTTTGTAGCACTCTTTGAGGCAGAAAATTCTCAAGGCACCACATATAAATAAAACATAAAAAGTACAGTAAACAGAAAAATAATAATTTTGAACAGAATCACTTTGCTTGTTGCAAAGTGGTATAGAAATTAAACAATTTCCATAGTATATAAACTAAAGGTGAAAAATCTAAATAAGCTGTAGCTTCTGTAAAATTTAGATTTGACCACGTTTGATCACATTTTTTAATAATGTTATAAACATTATTTCTTGTCAGCGGCTGAGCCTGAGAACATTCGTTGTTTTTAGAATCCTACCTCTCCACAGTAAGATAACTGAAATACACATCACACTGATTTCAGAAATGTAACAGCCAGCACTCATAGTTAGGGTTACTAAGGATACAAGCACAGCATCCAATCACAGCTCTCCTCTGGAGATAATAATCTGTCTGAGAAGCAGAAAGTGCACTTAGCCACACTTCAAAGGCAACATACAGGGTTTTGAAAGCAACTTGATTTTAAAATCCACCTTACATAAATTACAGCAAATCCAGTATTCCTGAAATTTCCTTCATTTCAGTATTAAAGATATTTGGAAACTAGAGGTGCGTGTCTATATATTTTTTTCTGCAACATTAACTTCCAAATCACCCCTAAGAAATTCAAATTACTAAAAACTGTAAGAGACAAAACCTTTCTAGTATTAATCACTTTAACATTTGTCTTTTTTGAAACATCAAAATTGATCTTTGTCTTTTGTACCAAGTGTTGAATATACAGCCCTTACGGTTTTTCAATTTGCTGCGTTAAAAAAAAAAAACATCAGTTAAAATGTCATAGATCACAGATTGCAACAAATCTTTATCAAAACACACAGTCACAATTCTTGATTTGAACACGTTGTCTTCAAAGCAAGAAAGTGTCCGATTAAACAAAAAGAAAAAAAAAACATGAAGATTGAACTTACCTCAAAATTGTAATACCGAAAAGAGATATAAAGGAAAAAAAAAAAGATTTTAAAAAGTATTCCTTGAGCTGCTGAAACTCAACACAGAACAAAATTTCTGAATAAAAACAATTATCACAGTTTGAGCTGTGACTCTTACTGAGCAGTCAACAACGTACTGTGCATATGTGAGGTACTGTATCTGTCACTAAATTTAGAATTATTGAATGTTTCAACTGATTTAGACAATGTTAAACAAATACGCCGAGAAAGCCTCCCAGCCCAAGCATGTGGGCGAGATCCCAAAGCAGTGGGTTTGGAGAAGTGTGGTTGCAGAAGAAATGACAGGAATGCAGGGTCTAACAGGAGCTCACACACAAATGGGAAGACGTTGTTCCTCAAAATCTCTCTGCAGTCAGCCTGTCTTTAAAAATCACAACTCCTGTTTTTTGTTTTTTAAACTACTGATCACCCTTCAAGAGATTAGGTTCTTGGATCAGTTAACTGCCCACTACCAAATGGGCTAAACAGTCTGAATTGCCTCATCTTGTTTGTAGACCTTCTAAGACCCTTCTTATATGTGAAAGAGTTCATATGCTTCCTCTAAAATTATGCACATTTACAGAAAAACGTAAAACAAAAGTGGAATAATAAAGTTACACATTTAGAGCATTATTTTTTTCTTAAACTGTGCCTTTAGAAAGTCTACACCTTAAAATGTTCACCTTTTGTTCCCTTAAAACATTTTATTCCGTAAAACAGAATAAAATTAATTATTTTTTCATTTATCTCCACAACCCACCCACAACTTCCTTGTGAAAAAATATTTTAGAAAAATAAAAATAACAGAAATAGCTTGTTTGGAAAAAATGCCCACCTCCTTTTAATGCTTAATTGGATCATGTGTGACCAAATGCCTTCAAAATCGCACACAAAGTTAACTGGCCTCTGACTGTGTTAAACTGTAGAGATTCATATGACTTCAGGATAAATTCAGCAGGTTCGCTCTGCTGAGTAGTGCATTTCAAAGACAAGACTGAACCATGAGCACAAAGGAGCTTTCAAAAGAACAACAGGACAAAATTGTGGAAAAGGCACAAATCAGGGGGTTGGGTATAAAATGGTCCTTAAAATCCCTTGGAACACAGTCAAGGTGATTATAGAAGTGGAAGAAGTGGAAGGTGGATGGAATCACCGAGACCCTGCCTAGATGATGACAATGATTCTTACACTTATATACTGTAGCTCTTTTGTGGACACTCCACTCAAAGTGCTTGATAGGTAATGGACTGTAAATGTACAGGTAATGGGGACTCCTCTCCACCACCATCAATGTGTCCCCACCTGAATAATGCGATGGCTGCCAAAGTGTGCCAGTATGTTCACCACACATAGGCTATCAGTGTGGAGGAGAGCAGCATAAAAAAGTCCAGTAAATTCCAATATTCTTCCAATAACTGTAACTTGGAGGGATGGAGGCTTATCCTATTATGATATTTCAGCTTTGTGTTTTTCCATCCATTTTCTAACCACTTCATCCAATTCAGGGTTTCAGAGCCTCTGTAAGTAATGGGAGCAACCCTGGACAGGACTCAGGTCCACTGCAGGTGTGCAATAATCAAAATCATAATATTTTAAATAGAGTTAATCTAATTTAGCAAAATAAACATCTGAATAAACAGCTGGAAAGATTCTCTAGTTCTCTACATGAAATTTAAGAAATGTATCTTTAAGTGAGAATATTGCAAATCTAAAAAACAGTAAACACATTTCAACACTGGGATCTGGATAAAAAAGTACTGCTGTAATGACATTATTACTTTCCATGCTTATTACATAACCTGCTCACACAAACCCTATCCTACCAGCCCTGTATCCCAGTAATTGTACTCTGCACACCTGGAAATAACTTCACGTAAACACAAAACTAGTCACTAGAACTTAATGAATGCTTCATTTTAAAAATAATGACAAAAAAAGTTCTAGCATACAAATTGCAGATGAAATAAATATTAAAAAGGAACAGGTAGCAGGTTAATTCCTTGCTGAAAAGAAAAGAAACCCAACATTTCGGCTGTGGAGCCTTCTTCCCTGTTCCTTTGCAGCCTATGCGTGCTGACGCAGCTACCTACTTAAATATTAAAAATATCTTTAGGCGTACTTAAATCACCCTATAAAAATACATTCACAAATGTCAATTTAGACCCAGTTTGCTTGTGTAATACTATGTTTAATACGAGGGTTATATTGCTCCAATGTGGCACACTAGGTAAATCCACAGTGGAAAAACTTCATAGCTAACCTAATAAACAGGGAGACATGAATGTGGCCATGTAGCCTTCCCAAAGACTTAAGAGAGCAGGGAAGGTGTGCCCATTGTGTCTAACAATCAGCTGCAAAAACAACAAACAGTGCTAGTGCCTTTTGAAAATAATAAAAATGGCAGGTTTGAGGTTAGCTGTGCAACTAAAAATAACTAGTGCCACATCAACACGTGGATCCCGCCAATAAAAATAAAGAAAAACTAAACTAACACATGAGGAGGCCTGTGCATGTGCCCCTTGCATTAGAACCCCATCAGTATGCTAGCAGCATTGGGCCTTATAGGAATCAGTCCTGATCAGAGGAGTGGTGGAAATGCTGTTCGTGCCACTGCACACCCAGCCAGCAGAGGGAGCTTGTGATGTCAAATTGCCGACTCAAACCCTGGTGCCATGTGGTAAACTGAAGATTCCTGATCATCTCCAGCATAAACCAGTGATGTCTCAGTTATAGGACTCAACCTGAGCTCAACTATGTGGTTCAGTAACTTGAAGGTGTCTAAAATCCTGTTCATTTTTATTGCTTGATCTGTTTACAGGGGAAAGCTAAATTATCCACCATTATCAGTAAGCAGACTTACATACTATTATTACAAACATTCATTTCTAGTGTCTGAATAGCCTGCTTTTTTTTCAAAAATACTTTTCCGGCTAGTGTTTTAACAATCAAGCACACATTCTTTTAATGTTTTTAAAATGTTTCCATCTGGTGCAGGTAAAAGAAGAACAAGGGTCAGAAAACAAAAATTGAATACATCAGCCAAAACACTATTCCATTGCAACCACCAGGCAACACGAACAAAAAAGGCTGGATAGGAACTTGTTCAAAAATGCACTGAGAGGAAATATGTAGAATGAAAATGATAAAAATAACATTTAAATACAATCTGAAAGGGTCTCAAGGTTTGGAAATCATAAAGGGCACACAAGATCATGCGAATGGAGACTATTTATAGCCAAATTACAGCCTGCTCTCCATTCATACACTTCATTATGTGCTCCGAGAGCTGTTCTGTTTAAAATTGTACACTTCTGTTTCTCTATAATGACTAGTTCCACATTTCCCTGAGTGAATCAAATTTAAAGAATAACCAATGTCGAGAGATGTCTCCTGGTGGCTGTTTCCCTTTTTGTAAGGTGAGGGCTGTCAAAAGGAGACTTCTCAAATCATTTTTATGTGGAATCATATGAGTCTTGTTCATTTTTTCCTCCTTTAACAACAGGAGCACGGCTTTCAAGACATTTGCCTCAACACCCGTCCCAGGAACCTGTACACTTTACCCAAGAGATTGCTGTACCAGAAAATTCAGTATGACAGTATGAAAAACGCTAAACTTACAATTAATTTCAATTAATTTCCATGAAAGATAAAATAGCTTGTCCTTTTATTTTATACACAGTTACAATATTGGGGCTCAAAGAGTTCACTACAGTGATAGAACCCTAAGCCCAGCATTTATAGCTGTAAAATGTCCTTCATGCCTTATATGAGTGCTTTGCTCTAACCGAGTCTATTATCAAGTGGCCATTTTAGGAAAAGATATACAAGAATATGAACAGAAATTTCAGAGTTGACAGGGGATGAAACCTCTAATGTAATTAGTAATTCTATTAGTTTACTGGAATTTATTTAAATACTGATATATAATTATCTCTGTGGCTCACCAATCTGCAGTGCAATGAAATGCTTGCCATTTACAGTATATCTGTGTACATTATAAGGACAATCTCTAGAAAGTGGCTGATTTTATCAGTTGCTTATGCATTAAGCATTCAGTAGTAACAGTTCTTCGATGTAACTTTAGGGCTATTGCAATTAATAAAATAGCTCTTTAAAAAAAAGATACCTACAAAAGAATTCAATTATGAACTGTTTACAGAAACAGTTTTTTGTATAACTGAAAGAAATGTGAAATTAAATACCAATTGTTTTACTACCAGCAGCTTAAAACATCAGTGAATGTTAAAACACAAGCAATGGCAGTAATATGTTGACACGGTTAGACAAAAACGTCACTGAAAAAATTATTTGTTAGCATAAGCATTAATGGTAATGGAGCAACTGAATAAGCTTTTTAATATTGAATACAGATCAATTTATTAAATTTAATTTCCAGGCAGTTCATTCTTCGGTCAGAGAACTTTTCCTTGATCTCAAGACAAGGTCCTTCACTTCAGAAGTCAGGGACAGGAGCTCCTTGCCAACAGCCTCAGTTAGGTCCTCCTCAGACTGGCCCTCAGCAGCTTCTCTCTCCGCTTTGTTTGGCTTTTTGTTCTGACCAACAAGCTGTTTGACAACCAGACCCTGATATCTGGTCAGCAGTTTGTGCTGATCCTAGAAAATAGGAACCATTGAAAAACAGTTATACTATTCAATAGCAAAAGCATTTCATCACACAACAACACATGGTTCTCATTTTTGTTTTTTCATGACATTTACATTTAAAGTACTCTAATGATTAACATTGTTACTCAAAAAAACCATGTCCTCTTTTTTAACTAAATTTTTTGAAAATGTAGAGGGATACGTTTAGTTAGATGCTCAGTTAACATATATACATATATAACGTATCTACACCTTGATACATAGCCGGAAGAAAAATCCTCTCTTTCCTTTCAT